CAGAAAGCCGGCATTTTAAAACAGCGCAGCTTTTTTCCTGCTACGGCTGAAAACCGAAAAGCAGCTTTTGATCAACACCGTTTAAGTGTTTCGTGGCAGGACCTCTTAATGAGCTGCAGGGTTTTGCAGCTAAAGCTGAGTCAGGAAGCCTCTCTTAGCTGAGAGCCTTTGCTTGCCTCTAGCAAGCAGAGCAGACCTGAGAAATTGCTGCTACCAAGAAAACATGCTTTACTCTATTCTTTCTCAAACTTTCTCAGGCTTTCTGTGGATTCAGTTATCCACGTCTGGGTGCCATATGTAGTAAGGAACTGCGGGCAGGCCTGCTTTTCATCCTGCCCAGCTCCCGCACGGCTAGCTTAGCCCCAGAAATAATAACACATAAGTTGTATTCATTTAAACACCGCCTGGCCCATTATCTCTAGAGAGTTAGTTACTGGCTAACTCTCACATCTTGATTAACCCATTTCTAATAATCTGTATCACATCACGAGGTGTGGCTTACCGGGAAAGATTCAGCATGTCTGACCTGGTGGCTGGCTCCATGGCGTCTGCCTCATAGCCTTCTTCCCAGCGTTCTGTTCTGTTTACTCCGCCTACCTAATTTTCTGTCCTATCAAAGGGCCCAGGCAGTCTCTTTATTGACCAATGAAAATAACACAATAGACAGATAACCCTCCTCCATCACTCAGCTGAGCTGGGCTGCCTGTCAGCTCCTGGTCTACACCCCCCAGCTGACCTGGGCTGCCTGTCACAGTTCCTGATCTACACCCCCAGCTGACCTGGGCCGTCTGTCAGCTCCTGGTCTACACCCCCAGCTGACCTGGGCTGCCTGTCCCTGGGTTCCTGGTCTACACCCCAGCTGACCTGGGCCGCCTGTCAGCTCCTGGTCTACACCCCCAGCTGACCTGGGCTGCCTGTCCTTGGGTTCCTGGTCTACACCCCCAGCTGACCTGGGCTGCCTGTCCTTGGGTTCCTGGTCTACACCCCCAGCTGACCTGGGCTGCCTGTCCTTGGGTTCCTGGTCTACACCCCCAGCTGAACAGGGCTGCCTGTCCCTGGATTCCTGGAGTGTTTCTGCCAAGCTTGCCAGTTGCCGACCCAGGTAGACCCTAACATTCCAGAAAAAAACGGCAAGCGATCAGTACCGCTTTTGTTATGCAGTCAGCCCCAGGTATCAGAAGAAGCTTCAGAAGTTAGACAGGTTTGAGGGGCAGAATAGGTCACAATTATTAGAGATTGCTCAACAAGCTTACAATAACTGTAACTCTGTAGATCTGTGGTTCTCAACCTTCCTAACGCTGAGACCCTTCAATACAGGTCCTTGCATGGTGAACACCAACCATAAAATTATTCTCATTGCTACTTCATGACTGTAATTTGTCTGCTGTTATAAACCATAATGTAAATATCTGTGTTTTCTCATGGTCTTAGGTGACCCCTGTGATAGGGTCATTTGATCCCCCCAGGGGTCACGACCCACAGATTGAGAAACACTGCTGTAGATGAAAAGCCAAACAAAAGATTGACCCAGGCAGTAGGGGTAGCACACAGGGAGACCAAAACAAGGGATCCGGTAGGGGAAAGTCAGAGACCCCGGAAGAGGAAGAGACTAGAGGAGGACCAATGTGTGTACTGTAAACAGAAAGGACACTGTGGGGAAAAGAAAGACGCCCTGGGCAAGGACTGGTAGACCAGGGCTCTATCCACTGAGCACCCAGGAGCCCATTGGCTAATTGGGAAAGTCTAGGCACTGGGACCTGCCAGAGGCTGTGGCCGTCTGTCTGGAAGACCTCTTCCTGTTCTGCCAGGAGGCCGGCTTTCTTTGCCAGCAGTTGCTGCCACAGCCGTGCTAGCGAAAGAAGCTGACCGAGTGACTTTGGGCAGGAACTGTTGCTTTGTGGTACCTGCCAGTTCTCATTGTTCTCTTCTCTGGATAGGCTGGATCCTAACGAAACGGTGGTCATCAAGATACTCCTCTAAGAGTTAATTTCTAGATTTGGATTGCCCCTCTCCCGGGGGTCTGACAACAGCCTGGCCTTCACAGCCAAATCTGTCAAAGGTCCTAAATGTTGATTAGAAATTATGTCATGCCTATAGGTGACAGAGCTCCGGACAGTTAGAAAAGATGAATGGGACCTTAAAGGAGACTTTAAATAGGTTCTTGAGAGCAGTGAAAATTGGACCATCTGGCAATCCAGATGTAGAACTCCCAGTTACTTCTCCTGCACCATGTCTGCCTGCTTGCCGCCATGCTTCCCACCACGCTGCTCTCCATGCGACAATGGACTAAACCTCTGAACCTGTAAGCCAGCCCCAATTAGATGTCTTCCTTTGCTGTGGTCGTGGCGTCCATTCACAACAATAAAACCTCAACTAAAACAACTTGCGAGAGAAAGAAAAAACCTTCAGGTCAGGAGACCCATGACCCTTTACAGAACGTTTACCTAGAACCTGTATGTCTCCCTGATGTTCTGTTGTGTGAAGCCCACCTGAGGAAGGTATTCAGTCTCTTTCTACAAACTCCTCTCCTACATTAATGTTTCATTTTTAAAATTTTAAAAACTGGCATATTTATTTATATGTATATGAATGTTTGCCTGCATGTTTATATTTGCAACCTGTGAATGTCTGGTACCCCAGAAGGCAAGAAAAGAGTGCTGGATCTCCTGGGACTGGAATTATAGATGTGAGCTGCTGTGTGGATGCTCAGAAGTTAATTCAAGTCTTCTGCAAGCGCAGCCGGTGCTCTTAGCTGATGAACCATCTCTCCGGCCCTTCTGTTCATCCTGATGCAGTTCCTTTCAGTCTCCTCGACCTGGCTTTGTCACCAGTGGCCTTTTAGAGTGGTAGATGCTCCTTCATAGCACAAGAAAGACTAAACGATGGGGACAACGGCCAGCCAGAGCCCACCAATTCTTCACTAGGGGCAAGAATATCACGTTCTTTTTTGTTAGTTTGTTTGTTTTTGTCTGTGTAACAGCCCTAGCTGTCCTGGAACTCGCTCTGTAGACCAGACTGGCTTCCAGCTCACAGAGATCTGCCTGCCTCTGGGTGCTAGAATTAAAGGTGTGTGCCAACACCATTCAGCTACAATATCACTTCTTAAAATGAATAAAATCCATGAATGGAGAGATGCCCAGTGGTTAAGAGCACTGGTTACCTTTCCAGAGGACCGGTTTTGGTTGCCAACCCCACACGACAGCTCACAAATCACGTGTCTCCAGTTCCAGAGGACCTAAGGGCTTCTTCTGGTCTCAAGTAGGCAGTGTTTAATAGACAGCAGGACGAGAATAAGAGCACTTTATCTGCAGAAAAGGAACTGTATAAATTTTATGCTTCTTTATTACTTGAACTTTTACAAATAAAATTGTTCGGCTGGAAAGTTCCAGTTCACTCCTGCTTGATCCGGAAAGAACCATTCCTCTCTCCAAAACCCACGCTCTTAGAATCTCCAACAAAGAAAAGGTCCCAAAAGTCCAGTTCTGCATTCTTGACTGCGGCAAACTCCTCCCCGAAGTTGCCAGTACCCTGCCTAAAGCAGTCAGCTTTGACCATACTTGGGTACAAACCCAGCTGGTGGAGGACACGCCATCGCTCCTGGCCTACAGGGTATATAAGCCGCGTGCTTCAGTTCTGCTGCGTTGTAAGTGGTGCAGCTAAGAAAGGAAAGGATCCTGGCTGAAAACCAAGGCAGGTCACAAATTCACCCCAAGGGTAGCAGGTTACAGCCCCACTCCAGGGAAAGGCTTCCCCATTTAACAACTCTGCTCCAGCTGGAGAGGGCTTCCCCAGGAAGCTGCTACAGTTCTCCTCAGGTCCCCGGAGAGTAACAACTCTGTTCCGCTAGGGGAAGGTTTTCCCAGCTACAGTGTTATAGCCCTGTTCCGGTCTGCTCTGCTCCCCTTCATTCCTGCAAAAGATGGCCTCACCTAAACCTTATCCAAGAGACTTATGGGGAGGGAAGAAAGGAGGAAGACGACCACCTCCGCCATGGTGGAAAAGGCAGCAGCCAACTGAACTGGCACAGGGCTCATAAGGGGTTACTTAGGGGTGGAGTTTTTCTAGGGTGGCAATTGGCCAAATTTCAATCCCTGAGCTTGGAGAAGCTTGGTGATTCGCTGGATTTTGAGCTTAGGGATTGGTTCGTTTTTTGTGTTCAGGGATTGGTTGGTTTTTCTACTGAGTTGGTCTGAGGTATAGTGTCTCTTTGGCTCTGGTTTCTGGGTCAGGGCGTGTTTCTTTGGTTCTGGTTTCAGGACCAAAGTGTGTTTCTTTCACTGGCGCTGGTTTCAGGGCCAGGGTGTGTTTTTTTGTTTATTTTTTGCTGGCATGTGTACGTGACTTCTCCCGCCCGATCTTTGGGGCTGGAGGATTTACCTGGGAGTTGATTTGCTCAAACCTGCTCTTTTGCCTTTTCAATTTGGTTTGATCTGGTTTACAGCATCGGCGTAGAAACCTATTATCCCGTTACAGAAAGTCCATTAAAAATGTATAATTTTCGTAAGGTCACAGTAGATACTCTTGCAAACCTCTCAACCCTGCCTTTACCTGTACTACCTGGCAGCCCTTGCTTGATTATGTGACTCAGTGCAATACCAGGCTCGACACACACATTGAATTAACGGCTCTGTGAGCTGTGACTCCCAGGATAAAAGTTGATCATTTTCAGGAAAATCCAAAAAGCAATTATTTCCTTCGTTTGTGTCTTGCAAATTTTCAGTAGCATTATTACTAGTAGACATGGATTGCACTTTTGCAGTGCGAGTCTCATCCGAGTTTATCTAGTTTTACACACGTCTGAAAGCCCAGTTACCAACGACGCCTCTGCGCCAGCCTGCCTCACGCAGGCGCCCTACGCCTGAGGGGGGGAGGGAAAGGGAGGGCGGCCTGCGCGCGCAGCAGGTCAAACCCAGCCGGGCAAGACTGCCTCCCCTCCCGAGTCGCCTTTGCCTCAGGCGGAAGTGAGTGGGAGGGGCCTCGTAGAGGCGTCCCGCCCCGGAAGTGGGCGGGGCGGCGGAACCCACGGCGTACTCGCAGCCTCCCAGTCGGGTTGCGGCCGAGGCCGGTCCTGGCTTTGTAGCTCTCTCAAGATGGCGGCGCAGTCACCCAGCGGGATCCGCCTCAGCGCGGTGAGCAGCCGCGAGGGGAGGAGCGGGCCGGGTCCCAGG